CCAGGAGAGCCGATGTGTAGGCCTAGTTTAAGTCCAAAAGCCTGAAAACCAGGAGATCTCATGGAGGTGTTCCATTCCAAATTCCAGTAGGCTCGAGACCCAGAAAGATCTGGTGATTCAGTTTGAGTTGGAAGGCAAGAAAAAGGTGATGTTCCAATTCAAAGACTGTCAGGCAGGATGGGGTCTCTTGTATTTGGAGGATGGTCAGCATTTTTTATCTATTTATGCCTTCGACTAATGGGAGGTAGCCAACACACACCAGGAGAGGATACCTGCTTTACTCAGCCTAACAATCTAAATGTTAATCTCATCCAAAAACACCTTTCAAAAGAACATCCAAAATGACATTTGACCACATATTTGGGTACCACATGGCCCAGCTGAGTTGATGCATAAAACTAACCATTACAATCCTTAAACTGTTGCTGGTCTGCAGCAAGATACCTATGAAACTAGAGACTAGGCATTTAGAAGTATCTGGAGCAAGTGGACTTTGTCGCTGGCATCAAGTGTATGATCAGTAGTCTTGATTAACATAGCATAGACCAATTTGTTTAATTCCAGTGATGAGTTACACGTGGGCCAAGCTCTATTGTACCTTTGTGTGTTAGGGGCAAATTTGTGTCCAGCATGGATTGGGGGAGGGAGAAAAACTGGTTCTTCACCGCTGATAGTTTGAGAAATACCAGTGTGGTCACAGTTGTTTACAAAACCCCGTGTGGTGGGCTTTACGGCCTGTACACAAAGCTTGAGGGGTGTTCCTGCGACGGGCCAGTGCCTGTAAAACGTAACAGAGAATTGCAGACCCTCTCTGCTCCCCTTATTCTCAGAGACAGGAGAAGCCTGAGCAAAAAGGACAGGAGCCAGAAAAAGGAATAGTCCAGGAATAAAAGCCGGAGTCAGGACGAATAAAACTAGAATGAGCTGTGAATCTGGCAAGGCAGCCGGGCCCACATGTATTCACTTCTGATCATGTGGTGTTGGGATCATCTGGACCATACAGCTCCGAAGGGTTAGAGCTGATAGGGGACTCGGAGCACATCTCAGGGCCCCGCCTTTCAGAAGGCGAAACTGGCTGAGGAAAAGGAAGGGGCTGGCCCAAGATAGCGGAACAGACCAGAAAGGGCAGTCCTGCCATTAATTGAGCACTTCTTCCATGCCAGGAGTTGGGCACAGCATGAATGTTGCTTTTTTTCAGCATTGGTTCCTCTCTTTGAGACCTGACATTAGTTATTTGGTATGGCTTCATTGGTGACAAATCTCTAGGGCTTTTAATAGTGGGGAAAACCCCTGGAAGTCTTTGAGAGTTAAGTTTGATTAAAACCATTTGGGTTCTAAAGCAGTGCAGAAATGGACACACAGGATGTCGAACAGCATTTGTCTTAAGACCTTAATCAAGCAATTATAATTTACATAAATGTTTAAAATATGGGGCTTTCAGGAGAGGGGCTGGAGAATGTGACCAAGCCTCTTTGGTGAAGTCTGCTTGCCTGTCCCTCCATGTTTGTAAGGATTAACCTTGAACCTGGCTAAGGATGAAGGCAGGAAGGTCAGCAGTGCCTCATCTCAGAGGACATAACCAAGGAAGCCAAGGTCTGTTGACTGCTCGTTCCCATATACAACACGCAGAACAACCCTGTGTTGTGAAAATACGGTGTTTTATTCTTTACATCATCAACTCATCTTACACGTGGCATGACTTTCCCTCACTGAGAAAGGGTCACAAGAACTCACTGATGCCAAGCACCTCCCGATAAGGGGCACAGTCCTCTGTATTTTGTTAATCTTTCTTAAGGCTACCGTTATTCTTGTTTATGTTATGTTCCCATTTCACAGAAGAGAAAAACGAAGCTCAGAGCATTGATGTAACCCCTCCAAAGATCAAACTCACAGGTCCCATTTGTGAATTTTCTAGAGCCCCTAGGACCCTGTTGACCTTCCTGCACTTCTGCCCCAATGCTCCAGAATCCTTTCCTGAGGAGGAGACCCTCTCAGTCTCCAGAGCTTTATCTTTTTTGGTGGGGATGGGTGGGCTGGAGTGCAATGGCACAGTCTTTGCTCACTGCAACCTCCGCCTCCCAGGTTCAAGTGATTCTCCTGCCTCAGTCTCCCGAGTTGCTGGGATTACAGTCATGTGCCATCACACCCGGCTAATTTTTTGTATTTTTAGTAGAGATAGGATTTCACTATGTTGGCCAGGATTGTCTCGAACTCCTGACCTCGTGACCTGCCCGCCTTGGCCTCCCAAAATGTTGGGATTACAGGTGTGAGCTACCATGCCCGGCCTTTTACCTCTTAACTTAGCACATAAATGCAGGAGCATAGCCGAGCGCAACATCCAGTAGACCTTGTTTACAGTCAAGCGGCAGCATAATGGGAACACGGTTTAAACTTTAGTCTGAGTCTCTGGATCAGTAATGAGGATAACTGTTACCACTTCCTTGCGCTGTTAGCAACCTAAGGCATTATCAGCATGAGCTCCCTAGCCTGGTGCACATCCGTGTAGATGGTAAAGAAAGCGTAATTCCTGTGGAAGCCAGATGTTCATCTTGACCCACTCCTGCTCAAAGGGTCTATGGTAGTTGAGAAAACACAATTATGAATAGCTGCCTCTTCCTTTTCATTCTCACTTGTACCAAACAGGGAGACAGATCTTCAAAAGTTTGGGTTGAAGCTTGTAATTGGCCAGCCGGTGACAATGCAACCCTAATCAGCCTGTGATTTCACGTCCTCTACCGATTCTGCCTTGGCCTTTGATTTTGTGGTCCCAGGCAGTGCACTTCAGCGAAGCATATTTGTTGTATTGATAGGAGAGGACCAGGAGCTTAGGCATTTAACCCTGAGGTGATTAAGAGGGAAAAAAAAATGAGTCCTATTTGTTAAGGTCCAAAGATACATCACAAGCCCTGGGCAGAGGTCGACACAGCACAAGTGAGATGTATAGGGTGTAATTCATCACATTCTTTAATCCTCAAGTTTGTGAGTCACAGAGACTCTCTGGGACAGTTTGGAAGCTCAGTGGGGTTTGGGCAGGAAGGAAAAACTTGAAGTATGGAAAAAGAAGAGTGTTTTTTTTGTTTTTTTTTGTTTTGTTTTGTTTTTTTGGACAGGCAGCTGAGAGGATGATTTTATAGAGATAATGCTTTTTTGCTTGGTAATCCCTGAGGTGGCTGTACATAGTTGGAGCCCAGGATTTCTGCAGAGTGGAAGCAGAAACAAGTGATGGCTTTGGGTATGCCTTGTGTCACTGGGACCCCTGAACAGTAAGCATGCCTTGAGCACCTACTGTATACAAGGTGATACGCTAAGTATTCTTGGGAGATGGGGTTTTTACACTAATAAGTTTTTTAAATGTTAGCTCTTTGAATAACCTGTAATAAACGTTTACTTAAATGGAGAGTGCACAGGCTCGCCATCAGAGAGACCTGGTTGCGAATTCAGACCCCACCATTCTGCCGGTATCACACTGAGAGACTTGTGTATCCTCTCTGTGCCTGAGTCTTTATTGCAGGGTTATGTGATGTTCATAGAGTGTTGCTGGCACTCACTTTAATGGTAACTGTTTTCCTGGGAAAACCTTAAGATGGGTCATGCTCCTATATCTTTCTTCTATGTTGCCTTTAATTATTTTATTCTTGGCATGGAACCATGCATCCACCCTTCTGGCATTTCTCAGACTTTGTGACACGTTACCACAAAGACAAGTAAGACCTGCCTTTGCCTACCTTGAACTCCCAGTCTTCATAGGAAACATTTAGTAAAACCGTTTACCAAATACAGTATGGCAGATACATGTTTTCGTAGCGCTACATTCAAATCATTATAGGAATATGTGGAAAGATACCTTGCCTGCAAATGGAGGATGGTTTCCCCTGAGAGGTGATGCTTTGAAAACAGGATTTTGAAAGATGTATAGGAGTTTGCATAGGAAGAGCTCAATAAACGTAGTCATTATTACCATCTTTTTTCCGTTTACTCCTCCTCTTCCTCTCTTGCCCTCCTCTACTTCCTCATACTCCTTCTCCCCTCCACTGTCTCTCTCCAATCCCCCCTACCCTTTGTTTTCCTAATCCTTTTTTTTTTTTTTTTTTTTTTGAGAGAGAGTCTCTCTCTCTAACCAGGCTGGAGTGCAGCGGTGTGTCTCGGCCCACTGCAACCTCTGCCTCCTGGGTTTAAGCGATTCTCCTGCCTCAGACACCCAAGTAGCTGTGACTACAGGCGCATGCCACCACACCCTGCTAATTTTCGTATTTTTAGTTGAGGTGGGATTTCACCATGTTGGCCACGATGGTCTCGATCTCTTGACCTTGTGATCAAGAGATTACACTTGTTTCATGGGATTACAGGCGTGAGCCACTGCACACGGCCCATAATTCTTTATTGTTAAGAATGCCTATGTAGAAACATGCCAAGTAGAGGAAGACAGTACGTTTAATTAGAAACAGTTTTATTGCGATTGCCATCTCTAAAAAGCCTATTAGTTTCTATCACCATAATAAGTTGTTCTGTTCTCAACTTTGTTCCCAGTTCAATCTGGATGCGTTTATTTGTAACTCACTTTCCATCTGCTTCCCTTAAACATGGGATTGTGCAAGGAGCTTCACCATGTAGTAATGGATGTCTGGGAAACTTGGAGGGGCTTGTGGCATGGTTCATCCTGTTTAATGCTTCTCGGGTCTGTCGCTCCCCAGATGGAAAGCCCGTGTCTCTGTCACCGCTGGAGTCCCAGGCGCACAGCCCCAGGTACACGGCCTCCAGCCAGCGGGAGCGAGAGAGCCTGGAGGTGCGCATGCGTGAGGTGGAGGAGGAGAACCGCGCCCTCCGCAGGCAGCTCAACCTGGCCCAGGGCCGAGCCCCTGCCCATCGACGAGGCAACCACTCCAAGACCTACTCCATGGAGGAGGGCACTGGAGACAGCGAGAACCTTCGGGCTGGCATCGTGGCAGGCAACAGCTCCGAGTGTGGGCAGCAGCCAGTCGTGGAGAAATGCGAGGTAAAGGGCACCTGCAGCCTGGGGAGGAAGTTGTCCAAAGTCCCTATTGCCCTCACCCCTTGCAGATGCCTTCTGGAAACACAGCCAGATGCCAAGAACTGGCATTGTTGATTCTAGCCCGGTGTGTAAGTCTGGCTTGCTCGCTAACTTTGCTGAATGGCCTGACAAGTCATTTAGCCTCTCTTGAGCCTCAGTTTTCCCATCTGAAAATGGGATACACGAAGGCTTAATCCACAGATATTAAGAGGAGCTAAGGGGTAGAAACTTGCACTTGTGTCTGTTTGGTTCATATTGACATGCCCAGGGTTTCTACACCTAGCTGTCATCCTGTAGGCCCTGTTTCTTAGACTATGGTGTGAATGGTGCACCTGGAGTTGTGGCCCAGTTGGGCAGTTCCCTTAGACTTCATTATCACTTCACCATATAAACAGCCTCTGCAATTCAGAAACAGGGACTGGCTCCTTATTTAAAGCATTAATTTGAACTTGGGACTGGTTCCTTATTTAAAGCATTTATTTGAACTTTTATAGCTTAATATCACTTCTCCCCTTTTAGAGGCTGCTTTCTTTCTTAGCAGCTCTTTGGAACTGTGGGACACTTAACAGTATTCTATTTCCTCAGATACCTGCATCCATGCTGATATGTGCAGTGAACACCCATACACGCATTTCCACTTCTCATGGTGGAGACGAATTGGAGCATTGCTATTCATAGGAAGGCCTTTTCAGACATAGACAAGACTAAATTCATATCCCAGCGTTAGCAATTTATGCATTGAGCACACTTGAGCCAGTTGCCTTAACTTCTGTGAACTCCAGGTGTCTCAGCAGTAAACTTCAGAAAATTAGACGTGCTTCATGGAGTATTTGTGAGCAGTAAATAGGATGGTCATATAAAGCCTTGACTAGCGCCTCACACATAGTACATTTTCAAAATGATGGTTTTTATTATTTTTGGTTAAACACAGATGTGACCTTTATTCCATTTTCTGGAATAAAGAAGAATGCTTAGACTTCAGACTCCCTAAAGAGAGAACACTTTGCAAACTGTGGTATGCCATTTGTTTGAATGGGGTTATTAGTAATATTGGTGATACCATCCATTGTAACTAAAAATGTGGCTATCCCATGTCACTTAAAAACACGGGGCTTCCTCAGTGGTGTAGACTAAGTTCTTTGGAAGTTCAGTGGTGACGGAGGAGACTTTAAACAAATGGCCAAGTAGAGCCCTTGAGGATAGGAGCATGTCTCAGGTTTCTCAAGCCTGGTTGAAGTATGGATTGCTGGAGAGGTAGAGGATGTCTGTCAGAGAATATCCAAGGAGGAATGTGCCATGTGAGAAGGAACCGTGTGAAACAAATGTCCATCATAGCAGGAAAGAATTGAGGACCTAGTGAGTTGGTCCTTCAGCGAAACCCAGAGAACCTGGGCGAGGACGTGGTTCCACTGCTTCGCCATCACTCATTCATTTATCTATCCATTCAGCAAACATTTATTGTACTCGTGTTTTGTGTCTCTGTTTTGTGTATTGGGAAACAGCGTGAACAACAGCAACAAAAAAAAGATGGAACCCCCTTCCCTCTGGTTCTCTCCATTCTGTCATAGGAGTTAGGGGAGAGATGATAAATAAATAAGTACAGATGTTAGGATGTGATAAATGCTGCACATTTATTCACCGTGACTATATGCCAGGCCCACTGTCCTTCAGTCTTTGACAACCATTGTCAGTGGCTTGTGTTAGTTAATATCTCTGTATTTCCTAATAATATTAAGAAAATGGGCACTGAACCATGTTAACATTGTCAGTGGCTTGTGTTAGCTAATATCTGCATATTTCTTAATAATATTAAGAAAACAGGCACTGAGCCATGTTAACAGGTTCCTTTGTTCTAGGCTGGTCCGGGGAGATCCCTCACTTAGGGCTCTTCCATTCTTGCCTTGGTGAAGACATACTGGATTCATTTCAAGTTCTCTGCTAGCAGATCATAGCCATGGGGTTGGTGTAGAAAGGGTTGGTTTGGATGGGAACTCTGCTAACCCGGTGAGATGTACCAAAGTGAGCACATTTTTTCCCCAAGTGCATTTACACTATTATGACTTAGAAACTAAAGAACAAATAAGAATCGTGGAGGTGGAAAATAAAAAAGGAAAAGGGGAAAAGAAGGCATAAATGAGAGAAAATGAGTCATGCTTGCTGGGAGATTTCTCTTCCTGCTGTTACATCTCCAGCCAGGAGTTTCTCTCCCCTTACCACTGTGAGGGGAAGCCGCGTACTCAGGCCTCAGTATGGTGGACGCCCCATTCCCCACCAAGCTGGATCCTCCCAGGTAGACTTCAGAGTGCTGTGCTGGCAGTGAGAATTTCAAGCCAGTGGATCTTAGCTTGCTGGCATCCGTGTGTGCTGTTGGGGGAATCCGCTGAGCTAGACCACTGGCTCCCTGGCTTCAGTCTCCTTTCCAGGGAATTGAACGGTTCTGTCTCGCTGGGGTTTCAGGTGCCACAGAGCATGGAAAAATAACTCCTTGCAGGTAGCTGGGTGTCTGCCTGAATAGCCATGTTGTCTTCTAGTACAACTTATTTTCTAGTCTTTCGTTCCTAAGAATTAGATTTTGTTTTTCTTCTCTTTCTTTGTCTTTACTGATCATGTTAATTTCTTAGATTCTTAGGAAGTTATTTTTAATCGAATTCTTCTGTGATGAACCCAGGGTCCTGTTCAGAACTTCTGTAGATGCACTTAAAAGTCTTAGCCTGCTGTAGTCATATTCCAGAGCACTTTCTGCAAGGTGCTGGCTTCCTAATCAAGAGCAGTATACTTCCTCAGTCTCCATCATTTGGTGTCTTGAAGGATTTTAGCGAAAAAGCCAGAGGCAGACAAGAAATGTCAGTCAGTGGAGTCAAAATAGAAACTCCCTTCATCATCACAGCACTTTTTGGTTCCAAGTGCTGAAGCTCATCTTGACATCCTGTCAGGGTGCAGGGCCACGTAACCAGTGATGCTGTCACCATCTGTGGGTGTTGCTGAAACTTCTCTGGGTTCCAAAAAGCGTTTCTGAAAACTCTTCTATCATGATGCCAGGGCTGTCAGCTGAGCTATCTGGTGATAGGAACAACGGGCCCTCTTCAGTCCTTTAGCCCTATTATCGTTTGCTAATTACGTGACTTTCAAATAGCTGCCTGTCTTATTCTTGCATATTTCTGTTGTCGGGGCAGTGCTGTTTCAGTGGTGGTCTGGCCTCTGTGTGCCTCAGAAGATGGAGCAGAATGACCCCCTTTGATCTTCACTCATGCACATGTGTGTATGGATATGTGTATTTTTTTTCTTGCCTTTCCAGTTCAGGTCTATTCTAGGACTTAGCTATTGTACAGAAGAAAGACAATGGCTGGAACTGGTGTCAGAATTGCTGAACAGGAGATCCCATTTGCTGCTCATTTCATGTAATCTTAGACAATTCAGTTACCCTTTTGGAGCCTATTTCATCATTATAAAATGAAAATATAACATGTTCTTCCCAGTGCAATTGTGAGGATGAAATGAGGTGGAGGCAGGGGAAGCTAGCTGTATATGAGTATCGCATACACTCATTATAGATATTCTACTTCTGTAATGCTGCCTGAAAAAAATCACCTAACACTTAATGACTTAAAATAGCACCAATTATTTTATTAGCTCTCATGGTTTCTATGGGCCAGAGATTTGAGAAGGGCTTCCCTGAGTGGTTCTGGTTTGGGGTCCCTCATACAGGTGGCATTAGTGTGTGGCTGGAGCTGGAACAGTAGGTAGTGACCCAGCCTACCTTTCTTCTAGACTCATAGCCTCATGTGGTCTCTGCCTGGGCTAGTTTGAGCTTCCTCACAACATGGCAGGTCTAGGAAGTCAGCTGCTTACATGGCAACTAAAGGCTTTAAGTGTAAGTATTCCCATAAGCAAGGCAGAAAGGAAGTACTTTTCTTGACCTGGCCTCAGAAGCCACATAGTGTCATTTCTGATAAACGTATTCTGTCAGTTGAAATGGTCACAGAAGCCCAGGCAGCACACACCAGGCTCTCAATGAGAGTAACATCTAAGAATTTGTGGATGTATTTAAGAACTGCCATAATGGCAGTTATTATGGAAAGTTATTATGGCAGTTATTATGTTATTATGGAAAGTGGACGAGTGATATCTTCTGATATCAGACCACCTCTTAAGGAAGTCCCCATTTTTCCTTCTGCTCCTGGCTTTGAACGTCATTTCTCAGTAATAATGTATTATAGTAAAATCAGTTAATCAGCCCTTGAAATATGCCAGACATCATGCTAAAGCTTTACATAAAATAACTCATGTCATTTCACATACTTTCTTCATTTTACAGACTAGGAAACTGTTGCTAGGAAAGGTTTTATAATTATGTCATGGTCACACAGCCAGAAAGAGGTGGAGCTTGGGATTAAACCTAGACTGTTTGATTCTAGAACCTATTTTTTGTATCACTGCACTGAAGCTCTGTGAATTAGAGCTTGTAAGACCCAGACACTCATGAGCTGCTGAGCCCAGGTCCTTATTTTGTGCTGTACAGGGGCCTCACCTCTGCAGATTTTAGGGTCACAGTCATGATACAGGGGTGGGTTATCTTTTACCTGGGGGCCTTTAGCAGCCCTATCAGGTAACCATTCCTCAGTGAGTTTAAGCAAATACCTGTCTGTTCTTCTAAAAGAAGTTGGATTGTTTTAAATTATTTTCCAGACTGTAGATGCATTTATTAGCTCAGTGTAGTATTTTGAATTTTGCTGGAGACAACATGTTTATAAAACTTGATGCTTCTCACCTGCATATTCTGGACCCTAACTAACCTTACAGTCTTTTAATGTACTTTTTCTTTCTTTTTTATTGTGTCTTCATGGACTTTATGTAATAACTCAGCAGTGAAGGGGTTTGCCCGTATGATACCATCAAAGAATTTAGACTCACATTTCATTAGCTTCGTATGTCATCTTTGGAACTTCTTCACGGATGTAAATCCACAAAAGTAAAAATGTCTTCTTTAAATTTCAAGCCCTGGAATTAGGGGATCTTAGAGCTGGAAGGAACCTGGAGGGATTGTCTTGTGTAATGATTTCAGGGAGCCTTAGGGACCCTCCCTGTATATATTAATTATTTATTGCGACACAGCTGGATACCCCCAAAACTTAGCAACTGAGATGTCAAACATTTATTATCTCACAGTTTCTGAAAATTAGGAATCTAGGAGTAGCTTGGTTGGGGATTATGACTGTTAACCTTTAATGAAATTACAGTTAAGATGACGTCAGGGGTTGGAGTCATCTGAAGGCTTGATTGGGGCTGAAGACTCTGCATCCATATAGTTTACTCACAGGAGTGGAGTCCTCATTTCCTTAGGACTGTTCACATATTCTTATTACCTAGCAGCTAGCTTTTCCCAGAGTAAGCAGTTTCAACAGAGAGGAAGGCAAAACCGAATCTGGGATGTCATATACCGTTACTTCTGCTGAATTCCGTTAGTCATACAGCCCAGCTCTGATACAGTATAGGAGAGGCTACACAGGGCATGAAAACCAGGGGGCAGGGATCTTTAGGAATAGTCTTAGAGGCTGGTTACCAACCATGGCCAAGGCAAGGGACCATATCTCTGCCAGCCCCCTGTCTGCTGGCCCGGGTAGCGTTCTCTTGTTGCATGTTCTGCCTTCTTGTAAAACTTGTTTTAGAAATTGTGCCGCTGAGAATAACAGCAAAGCTGTAACTCAATTTTAAAAATGATAAGAGTCTTGCCTAAGCTTACAAAGTTGCACCCACAGCCCACCTGATGAGTCAGGTGTCTCCTCTTCCCATTCCTGTGTCTTTTACATTGTTACATGGGGAGAGGTGACAGGCAGTGTTGGTATTTGATGAAATAGAGGGAATTGGGCAGCTTGAAGACCTTCCTTTCAATGATGGGAAAAATGCTATCCCAACCTTACTTGAAGGTAGAAGAGAGAGTGAGTGAAGAAGAAAAGAACTTGATGCCTGATATTTGAGGAAATTTTGGGGTCAGACCTTAAATGTAGAACCTTGAGCTTACTATAAACTCTTTATAATAATTATTATTGATGATTGCCAATACCCGTTAGTTAAAAGGTGCCATGCCCTAAGCCCTTCACACGAATCATCGCAGTTAATTTGCCCAACAGTGAGTTGACATGGGGCCGGGCACAGTGGCTCATGCCTGTAATCCCAGGACTTTGGGAGGCTGACGTGGAAGGATTGCCTGAGCAGGAGAGTCCAAGACCAGCCTGGGCAACATAGCGAAACCCCATCTCTACAGATATATATAAAATTTAGCTGGGTGTGGTGGGGCACACCTGTAATCACTGCTACTTGGGAAGCTTAGGTGGGAGGATTGCTTGAGCCCAGGAATTTGACGCTGCGGAGAGCTATGACTGCGCCAGTGCACTCCAGCCTGGGTGACAGAGCAAGACCCTGTCTCAAGACTAAATAAATTGTTGACACATTTGTTATTCACTCTTTATGGTTGAGGAAGCCAAGGTCCTAAGAAGTGAAGTTATGTTGTGAAATGTGAGGAAGAATTTGATGGGTGAGGCGAAGGGTCAGGACATTCTAGAGTAAAGGCATCTTCTAAAAACAAGAAAGCTTGATGAGTCATCTAGCATGACCATAGCACGGCGCTACACTGCTCATTGTTGAGTGATTGTCTGGCTAACGTGTGTGGACTTTTTGGACTGGGCCGGTCTTCCAGAGGCCCCCATGATGGATCAGCATTGGACTGTTGTTTGATCACCCACCTACCCGAGACATGGGTCTCCGTGTATCGATTACACTTCTCATGACCCACCACAAAATCAGTCTCATTCTTTAAAATGTTTTCTGGGTAAAATTTGGGTTTCTGATTTCTCAGGTGGCTATGCTTTTCATAACACAAGAAAATCAATTCTAAATCAGGCCAGGATATACAAGATAGAAAACTGTGGATGGGGCTGGGTGCGGCGGCTCATCCTAGTACTTACGGAGGCCGAGGCGGGCGAATTGCAAGGTCAAGAGATCGAGACCAGCATGGTCAACATGGTGAAACCCCATCTCTACTAAAAATACAAAAATTAGCTGGGCATGGTGGTATGTGCCTGTAATTTCAGCGACTCAGGAGGCTCAGGCAGGAGGATAGCTTGAACTCAGGAGACGGAGGCTGTAGTGAGCCAAGATAGTGCCACTGCACTCCAGCCTGGGTGACAGAGTGACACTCAGTCTCAAAAAAAAAAAAAAAAGAAAATCCTGGATGGTTCATTCATTTGTCATCCATTTATAGGGCCTTTTCCATGGAGGGTACACTCAGAGACTTCCTGGAATGTTTGGCCCTTCCTGTTCTCACTCCAGACCGCATAACCTATTTGATCCACTGTTTCTCATCAAGACCCTGAAGGCTTTGCTTACAAAGCCAGGAGATGCATCTACATCTGTTTTCTGCATAGTTGAAATAATTTTCTCTTTGGGTCCATGATTCAGCATTTAGAGTGGACAGATTTAGA